CCAGACCCCAGCAGGTGCCTGGGAGTTCAGGCAAGCTCCAGGCTACTAATTCCACTCCCACTCCAGGCACCTTTGGCACTCCTCTCTCTCCCACCCCCAGAGCTGGCCTGCTGCTCTGGAAGCTATGCTACGGTTAGGGGATGCCAATCTGCCTGGTCTTCAAGGGCTGGAACCTGCGGGTGTGGCCCCGTTCTCTTTCTCCTTTTTCATACATTCACTCTCTTGCTCTGATTTTGAAATTCAATTGAAAATGAAAGGAAATTTAAAATCATGATCTTGTGAAAGGTTAGAGCAGGAGAGATTGAGAGAAATGTGGAGAAATCTCAGCAAACAGAAGCAGATAACAAGCCAAAGAAATCACTGGAAAGGGTCAGGTGCAGGGGAGTGCACTGGTGACCCCAGCACTTTGCGAGGCCGAGGTGAGAGGGTTGCTTGAGCCCAGGAATTTGAGATCAGCCTGGGCAACACAGTGAGAACTTGCCTCTACTAAAAATAACAAAAATAGCCAGGTGTGGTGACACATACCTAGGGTCACAGCTACTTGGGAGGTTGAGGCAGGAGGATCGCTTGAGCCTAGGAGTTTGAGGCTGCAGTGGGCCATGATTATACCACTGCACTCCAGCCTGGGTGGCAGAGTAAGACCCTGTCTCTAAAAAAAGAAAGAAAAAAGAAATTACCTTGAAGAAGGGCCACAGCCAGGCTTAAGAGAAAACACCTTCTAAGTGTCCAAATGCTTCTTCATCTTCTTCCTTAATGACACAGGACTTTCAGCCGAAATTGACTGGGTTCTGCTCTGGAGCTGGCACTGCACTAGGTTCTGAACACAGACAGCAAGTGCAGTAACAGATGACGGCGACTCAGACCACGCGGTGGTCGTGGACAGGCAGACGCAGAGACACAGTTACCTCTGGATACTTTTTGGAGGCAAAATCAACAGAATCTCCTATAGATTGCATGTGGTGTGAGGAAGGGAGCAGTGGAGCATGGCTCTAAGTGTTTGGGCAAGGAGAGGGTTTGAACAGACGCTGTTGAGCCTGAAGGGAAAGCAGGTGTGGGGGCATCAGGGGCTCAGATTTGGACAGGTTATGTGTGAGATTTGATGTCCACGTGGAACTGCTAAGCAGGCATTGGACAAAGGAATCTGGAGAAAGAGTTCTCCGTTTTGATCTCATAGAGATTCAGTGGTGATTTTTTAAAATCAATGTATTCATTAACACTTAACCAGAAATAACTTCGGTCGCACCACTGCACCCAGCCTGGGGGATAAAATGAGACTCCGTCTCAAAAAAATAAAAAATAAAAATAAATAAAATAAAATAAAATACAGATCGTAAAGGCTTGTATTAGTTTTAACAGAACAAAAGGCAAGAACAATCTTCCAAAATCCTATTCTGATGAGGGAAACTGCCAGATGATAGCAGAATTTGTTCCAAAGAGTTTTTGTAAATTTATTATTTATAATTCAGAATATATTTTCCCACAGAAATAATTTTATGACTCATGGCTAACCTCTTGGGCCAGGTCTCAGACATGTATCTCTTGCATAAGAAAACAGTCTATTTAGGGGAGGAGGGGAAGGGTAAAGTAACACTGTCAAGGTACTAGCAGTTAAACAAACAAAACTTACTGATAGAGGAGCTCTTATGCTCCCTCATTTATGATTCCTGATTTGAAATAGAGCTCATTTGACCAACCAAACCCTCTCTCCAAGAAATGACAGACCTTTTAGTTGACTGGAACATTCAGCTGTGGGAGGTAGGTCCAAGGATTTTGCTTTGTGGCAGCAGACGAGGCTGGGGAAGGAAGCAGGTTTGTGTGGAGACAAGGAACCTGGAGATCCAGGCTCAAAGAACTCTCAGACAGGGTTTGCAAGCTCTAATTTAAGCCTCATTCACACTTTGGTGTGAATCATTTTAGTCACACCCAGAACAAGTAAAGCACTTGGGAATGCACATTTTTATTGAGGCAGGATAAAGAAAAGGAGTTTCTGGAACTAGAGGAGAGGATTGGCTTAGATGGAGTCACTTGGGCCAGCAGCCAGCCAGTTTGTACATTGGCGGGGTGAGTGAGGGAGGATATTAAGTATCTAAAGAGGCTTAGGCAAGAGATAAGTTGAAGTCACAAAGACAACTTTTGCTGAGGTTCCGGTGGTAGCCGCTGTGATAACAAGAATTATGTTTATGGGTCACCAAGGCTTGAGTTATGCTATTAAATCTAGCTTGGAAAACTACTTGTCTTTGTCTGTCATCATCTGGTCCATGCTTTCCATTCTCAGCTCTTCCAAGCTGGCTTCTCAGTTTAAATTCTCATTGCTCAACTCCTGCCTCAATTTTATTGTAGGAAGAGAGAGGGAGGGGAAGAGAGTGGGGACATTTGTGTTACAGCTTTACTGTGCGCTTTCTCCCTCTTCTTCTCCCATTTACTATGAATGCAGGTTACCATGGCTTGCTTGGTTAAGGGCCCTTTGAAACATAGAACCCTTGAATGCCAATGGCTATTGATAAATCTCTGATGACTGGAGGAACACCTGGGTCCTTGGTCTCATGCCAATAGGATTAACGACACGAACACATGGAGTAGTTTTAACGAACCAAAAGTTTAATAGGAGAGAAGGAAAGGAGAAGAAAACAGCTCCCTCATACAGAGACAGGGAGAGAGAGGATTTGAACAAAGAGAAAACCCAGTGTGTGGCAGAAAAGTGGTTGCTTATACTGGGATGCTGGAGGAGGTAGTGTCTCATTTGCATAGGGCCCAGGGGATTGGTCTGACCAGGCCTGTCATTTACATAGTCCTCAAAAAACCTGGCTTTCCCACCTTAGTCCTTTACTATGCAAATGCGGGTCACCATGATGTTCTGAACACATGGTGTTGTCTAGAGGTGGCCATGACACTTGGTACACCTGATAACGAGGAAAAGATGGCAGGTATCTCCAGGTTGAGTGAAGCCAGTTTCTAATGGCCAGCATTTGCATGTCAAAGCTTGCCAGCCTGGCCCTCAAGCTGCATTTTCTGTTAGAAAAGAGATGGTTCAGGGGTTGCTTCTTACAACAGGAAAATTTCCACCAAGAACCTTTACCCTTACTATCTACCAAACGCTTATTTCTTAATAACTGCTGTATCATTATCATGGCTTTCTTTTTTAAAATTCTTTCTTTGTTGATGCCAAAACAAAATTGAGTTAAATATTGTATCCTTTCATAGATCACAAATGTCCTAAGAGCAGGCATTATAGCTCTTGCTCAACAATTGAGTCCTAGGTGTGGAGGCCCAGTGTCTTATGCAGAGTGGGCGTTCAGTGAATAATAATTCAATAACGAATGAACAAATGAATGAATAAGAATATGGAGGAGGCTATAGGCTTTTGGTGTAGATCCCTTAGGAAACTTTCTGGGCACTTTTGATGGTTTTAGAAGGTGATGGCACTGGGTGGTTAATAAATCTAAATTCACTTGAAAGCATAAGGCTTTCCACTGATAGCAGTCCTTTTATGCTTAATCAGTCATCCCAGAATTGTGGTGAATTGGAAGTCATGGTCACAGTATTTTACACTCCTCTATCTTCTCTCTGTTGAATCTGAACTTGCCTTATGACTTGTTTTGATCAATAAAATGTGGCGGCAGTGATGTGCAGCGGGAGTCCAGGCCTTATGAAGCCTGAAGCGTCCACTCTCACTCTCTTAAAATTCTGCTGCCTTCCTATAAGGAAGCCCAGGCTAGACAACCAAATGAAGAGGGTTCTTGCGTGTGGGTACTAAATAAGAAAGTGAGGATAGAACAGAAAAAGTCCAAGGCCAGTTCACCCATTGTCACTAGAGAAAAGGCAAAATATTGATTGGCAAATAGATGCAGGTAGATTGATAGATTGTGTGGTGAGGCCAAAGGGAAGAACTCTCTGAATTGTTATTTTCTATTCAACAAGAAGTGAGAGTTAGCAGGCAAGCAGAGCTTGGGTAGGAGTTGTGAGAAGGAAGGTGTGAACAGCTCTCCAACTGTGTGAGGATTTGACCATGGAAATGTAGGAGAGTTGCTCAGCAGCACCAAAGGTCAGCTTGATGTTTATGATCATTAAAATGAGTAATTTAGCATGCTCGATTGGTTTTTTCCAGCCAAATTCACTTGCTTAAGAGCGGTTCCAGAGTAGATGGAAAGCTGCGGTTTTTCCTGGCTGGGAGAAAGGACAGAGAGGGAGCCAAGGACGTTAAGTGTACAGGCACTCTAATGATGGGACATGAGTTTATGCTGGGAAAAGAGGGACGTGTAAGAGCAGAGGGATAGGGAAAAGTGAGGAGTTTGGTGAAGGTAAATAATTACTGGCACTAGGAGGTACGAGTTGGAATGGCAAAGGAAAGTAAAGTGGGCTGCCTGAAACTGACACTAGGGAGGGCACGCAGTTATGAGTAAGGTCAAGGATGTGACCCTGAGAATGTGTGGCTGCTCTGGTGTGGGAAAGACCACAGGAGGTGGAAGCTGAGAAGCTGTACAGGCATTGCAGGAATCATCCGCGTGGATATTGAAATCATCATGAATTACGAATGGAGCCAACTGTATTACTGGTTACCATTTCTACCAGACCACTGTACGCGGCCTTAAGTCCCTCAACTTTCCATTTAGAGCACTTATCACGGCTTCAAATATTAGAGCGATTATTTGGGCCGGGAGTGGATTTTTTGACAGTAATCAGGGCTTACAAGTCTGTTTCGTTTCTTCACTGACATACGATTAATATCCAAAAGGTAGAATGGATAGATAGATGAATACTATTCTGGCTGTGATACAGAGAATCTTCAGATGTAATAAGTTATAAGGCCAATTAACCCTACAAAGAAGATCCACAGTAGTTTCACATTAATGAAAAACTCCTGGTGCAAGTCTTCAATAGGGCGGGTATTTTTGTCTGCTGATTTTCTCGTGTCTAGAACAGTGCCTGACATATTAGGTGCTCTGTAAACACTGAGTGAAAGAATACGCCCCATCAGTATCTCACCGCGCCTGCGCCAGGTGCCCTGGGTGGGGCCAGCCTTGACGCACCGCGCCTGCGCGACGTCTCTTTGCAGGGCCCAACGACCAGCTCCCAGCCCCGCTTCGCCGCAGCGGCTTGAGCCCTCCGGCCCTCCATAGGCGCTCGGCTGTTGCGCCGCTCCAACTTCCTACTCGGCGTTCCCACGCCTATTCGAGTGGATTCCGGGCACTCCAGGAAGAGGTAGGCTCAGCCTTTCTCCACGTCAGAGACCTAACTCTGGAGATGGCGGCTCAGAAGATAAACGAAGGGCTGGAGCACCTCGCCAAAGCAGAGAAATAGTGAGTGAGACGCCGGGTGGGCCTGTGTGTGGACGCCAAGTCCGTCTTTCACTGGCACGGCCTTAGCACCCGGCTGCGCGAGAGGGAGGGCACGGGGCTGAGGGGGCACGGCGCGCTGGTGCCTGCGGGGCTGCCGGGGCTTGTGTCCCCGGGGTCGCACTTCCGAGGTCGGGGTCGGGGTCAGGCCGCCAGCGCCTAGGGCAGCACCTTGGGTCCACCCCGCCGGAAGTCCGCTCCCCAGAGCTGCTGTGGGCGGGGACCCGGCTCAGTGCTGCGGGGCTGGTCTTTAAAGAGGGCTTCTCTACCTGGGCGCTAAGCTTCTAAAGGCTTCTTGTGGTGGGGACTGTCTGTATCCGAGGCTCGTTAGCAGCATCCTTTGCCTCTACCTGCGACGTGCCGGTCGCGCCTCTTCTCCGTTTGTGGCAACCAAAAATGTCCTCTGGGGAACAACATCGCCCAGTTGAGAACCACCGCCCTAGAAGAGCCCCTTGTGTGGAGAGGACCATAGATTTACCCCAAAAACTCCTCTGTGAACCTTTGTCATCTGGCATTTTACTGTTCCAGTGGGCCAGGACTGTGCTTCCCTCGTCCTTTGATGTGTATGTTCTGCCATCTCTGGTACAGTACGTAATAGGCACCCAGCAAATGTTCGTGGGACTGAACTGATTCTCCTTAATTCATTATTTTGGCACCCCGCCGCCCTCCCCCGCCGTTTCATTACTCCAGCTCATTTTTATCTGACAGGGTTAATGAAAAGTCGGTGCTGTGTTCTGTGGTGGGTGCTTCACATACGTAATTTCATAAGTTAAGATCTTCACAATAACTGCCCAGAGAGATTCTCATTATTCGTAAGAGGAAGTGAAGCTCATAGAAGCCTTATAACGACTTGCCCCAGGGTTCGCAGGTGAAAGATGGCAGAGCCAGTTTTCAAACAGTGGAAAAACTCAAGCCCTTTCTATCACATGACTCGAGGCAGTCAGTGTGTAAGGTACTGGGGCTCTCCTGGTGCAGGAGGTTTCCACAACAATCTGACTTTCAAGTGGGAGCAAACGGAAAAATTGTAGTAAGAATAAATAGTGTGGAATAGGGACCACAAAAAAGCTGTATGAACTGTGCATGGGTAACATAGAGGGAGAAGTTTATTCTGCCTGAGAAAATTTAAGGAAGAGATGATTTGTGAGCAGGGCCTGAAAAATACAGAATGTTTTAGACAGAGGGACAATCCTGTGAAAGAGATTCTATGTACAATCTGTAATATGTATCATACATGGGCCTGAAAATGTGCTCTGGGAACAGTGATTATAGTGTAGTCACAGTGATGGGAAAAACTGGAGTGAAGAAGAGCTGGGGCCAAAGTGTGAAGGTTCAGCTTCTCAGATGGCTCTTGTAGGCTCTTGTAGGCATCTAACCAGTGGACCCGGCTAGATTTGTTTTTGGTAAAAGAAATGTGGCAGCAGGCCGGGCGTGCTGGCTCTTGCCTGAAATCCCAGCACTTTGGGAGGCCAAGGCAGGTGGATCACTTGAGGTAAGGCGTGAGACCAGCCTGGCCAACATGGTGGAACCCTGTCTCTAGTAAAAATACAAAAATTAGCCTGGCGTGGTGGCATGCGCCTGTAATTCCAGCTGCTCCTGAGGCTGAAGCAGGAAAATCACTGGAATCCGGGAGGCAGAGGTTGCAGTGAGTGGAGATCGCGCCACTGCACTCCAACCTGGGAGACAGGGAGACTCCCGTCTAAAACAAAAAAAGAAGAAAAATGTGGCAGCAATGTAGAGAATGGACTGTGGGGAGAGGGTTGGAGGGAGAATTTTGACATATTCAGTAAACATTTACAAAGTTGTCACTGTGTACCTGTACCAGCCACTGAGGATACTGGAGTAACCAAAAGTGGTGCCTTCAAGAGCTTAGAATTCACAGGCGGGCAGACAAGTGAACAGAGGAGTAAAAAGATGTTCAGTGCTAGAATAGAAGTATTCATTATGATATGGTGGAGATATGAAGCAGGGAAAATGTAATATGTTCAGGGTGTGAGAAATGGAAGAGGAGGAAAGGTGACTCTCCCATGAAGGGGGTGTCAGACATGTTAGTGGGTTATTGATTTCAGGGAAGAGTTGGTAATGGCCTGACATGCTTTAAATAACCTGCCTGTGTATAGAGATGAAAGCTTAACTCAGGTTTCTAACTTGAGAGATGGAGGGGGAGAGGCCTTCAGCCAAGGTAGGGAATATAGGTTAATGGACATGATTGGTGGTTAGGTCTGGGGCAGGGAGGTGGGGTGAGGAGGTGTGGGGTTCAGGCTTGAAATGTTAGTTTGAAATGCTGCTAGACAGTTACTGAGTGAGTGGCAGGCAAAATGGGCCAGGAGCTTGGGAGATACTTGATTTTTCTCTGTTTTCTAATGATGATGCAATTCAGTATTGCTGAGTAATTTTGTAAATTGATCCCCCTACACAGATGGTAATGTTGCTGTTTTCCTTTTTTTTGTGGAAATCGGTCAGCTTCCTTATTGATTCTTTGGAGAAAAAGAGTGAAAAGGACTAACAGGTATAGCTACTAAACCTAAATTAGCTGTACATCTTTCTTCCTCAGTAGTGGTGTCCATGTGACCGGGATGGTTTTGCCCAGTTTTAAACTCTCTGGGTCTTTCCGTGTACAGCATGTTAGGTGACTGAATGATTGTATCTGGTTTTTAGTGGGATTTTAAAAATTATGTTAATATAGAGAATGTAGTGTTTGTTTTGGGATAGGAATGGAGGGTTAGAATTTTGCATATTTCCTCAATTTTGTGAATTAGAGTAGACACACCATAATTCAAGGATATTATTTTTCTGAGCAGTGAAATTCTTGGTAACCTTGAAAAATTGCTTGTGCTAATTTGAATCTTGTAACACTATATACACAAAGAAGTTTTAGATGCTAAATATGTTAAATAAATTTAATTGGCCAAAAATGTTACTTAAAACCTATGGCTGGCTGGATGCAGTGAGTAACTCATGTCAGTAATCTAGCACTTTGGGAGACCTAGGCAGGTGCATCACTTGAGGCCAGGAGTTTGAGACCAGCCTGGCCAACATGGTGAAACATCTTCTCTACTAAAAATACAAAAATTAGCTGAGTGTGGTGGCACAAACCTGTAATCCCAGACACTCAGGAGGCTGCGGCATGAGAATCACTTGAACCCAAGAAGTGGAGGTTGCAGTGAGCCGAGATCAGACCACTGCACTCCAGCCTGGGCAACCAAGTGAGAACCTATGACAAGAAAAAAAAAAAAAGGCTACTACTTTTGGCAGTTCACATGGCTGTAACAAAAGGAAGGCTATACTTCTGAGGGCTAATTTCAGATTCCCCATCTTTCAGTTAAGGTACTCCCCTGATTCATTTGAAGCAAGCAGTATTCTATCCAAGCAGGCCTTCACTAATTGAATGAAATTTAGAGTTTAAGATGGTTTGGGCAATTCTTACACTCAAATTTGACAGTTACTGAATTAGTTTAAACCAAGTCTGAAATTATTTTAAAGTAAGAAAAAGAAATAAAATACTGAGGAAAAGGCAAGTAAGATAAGGATTCAAAAAACTGGCCTTTGATTTGGCGTCCAAGAAGCCAGTAGTGATCCTGGAAAGCAGTTTCTCTTGACTTTTGTGCCTACTCCCTCTGTCATTCCACTGAGTGATTGTATTCCTTAGTCTTTCTGTTCTCTCTCTGCATTCTCACTAGGGGATCTCATCTATGCTCTTGACATTTGCTTATGACACCTCCATTTATGTCTCTAGCCTCTGATCGTGCTTCAGTTTCATGAATCCCCTCTGCTGTCATTACTGTGCTTCAGAGGTTCTTAAGCTTTAATGCACCTTTGGGCTTGTTAAACCTCAGAGGTTCTGTAGGCTTGGGATGGGGTCAGTAATTTACGTTTTTAGTAAGTTCCTAAGCAGTGCTGATGTTGCTGGTCCGGGGACCATGAATTGAGAACCTCTAGGAGGAAAACCACATACCTGTGACAGTGGAAGAGAAAGAGGTGAGGTTGTGTTTGTTAGGTATAAGTTTGGATGGAGGAGAGTGACACAAAGAATTTGTGCCTGATGGCTCCTCCTTTTTCTTTTCTTTGTTTTTTTAACCTAGAAGGTTATTAGAAGCAGGGATCTGACTTATAAATGTGGTTGGTAACTTCTGTTAACTGTGTTTTTTTTCATTCTAGCCTGAAAACTGGTTTTTTAAAATGGAAGCCAGATTATGACAGTGCCGCCTCTGAATATGGAAAAGCAGGTATTTTTGACTGTAGTCCGGTTGCTCCAGTATGTAATCTCAAAATAGTCTGATAACTTCATTTCACCGTAATACTTACTCATGTGCTTTCTACGAGGCTTTAATAGTTAAAAAACAAACAGAACAACTGTGCAAGCCGTTGAGTGTTTTTCCTCTTGTTATTTTCAGATGTGTTGAGAGCTGAGTCAGAGATCTTGGTACCTGTTGTTTATGACAGCAGGGATGGGGCGAGGTTGGTGATATACAGCAGTGGGTTTTTAGCATTGCTTATATATTTTTCAACTCCAGTTATTTGTATACTGTATCCATGAGTTTTGCCATATTTCTCTATTATACTTTCTGTTGAATAAAGAGCTTGTTAAATTTTTTTGTTAATTTATCCTCAAGGAGATCTGCAGATCATGTTTGCTTGGTACTTTTATGAACCTCACTTTGAGTGTATCTGTTCATCGTTCATTAAGTGTTAATCTATATATGTATTTTAATCATTTTATATGTATGTAAGATATAAACAATGTAAAATATGCAACAGAAAGGGAATTTACTAAAAATTTAGCATTCTAAATTATAGAATGATAGCTTTCAGCATATCTGTGATGACTTGTAGTATAAATAAAACAAAATTTTAAAGTACCTTGAACACATTTTCAGTTGTATTTCAGCGATAACCCTGATCACATGTGTTAGCCTAGCATAGAGATCATCTAGGGCAAGTGCTTTTGGATAAACAGCAAATGAGTCTTCAGTACTTTTATTTAAATCAGAGTAAATTCTGTTTTTTTGCATCATGCAAACTGTTTATATCTCATACTTTAAAATTATTAAAAGTTCAAACTTAATGAATTTTATGGACTACTTCTGCAAGGAGGCATCTGTAACAGAAGGGAACAGCGTTTTGCAAGTTTCCACTGTGAGGGAAATTTAACACAGATTTGTTTTATATCCCTCAGAGAACATGAACTACATTCAAAAATAAATGTTTTAGATCAGATTTTCCCATTGAAGCTTTGTTTATTTTCTCTAAGGGCTTATGGAAAATCTATTTAACCAGAATAAAAATTTTAAAAAGCAACAGATAGAAAAGCAGTGAGGAGAATGGTTCAGTATTTGGTTTTCACATTTTATTAAAGAGAATTTTAAGAGTGTTTTTAACAAATAACACTTTTCTTAAAACATTGTGCTTTCTGCTTCTTTGTAAGCAACCCTTGAAAAGTTTTCCAAAATTTTAAGATTATATTTTACAAGCATTCCTGTTTTGCTTTGATGATTACACTGTTAAAACAGCTCGCAGTATACTTTAGCTGTTTAAACAGTGAGATATTTTTTTATAGACAGTAAACAGTGTAAAATATTTTTTTAAATGCATTGTTAGACATTTAAAGATTATGCCAAAGGAAGGTTTATTATAAAAAACTATTTAATGTGCTTATTGGTCGTCATTTTCTACATAATTGAATGACCTACACCTGAAGTTCTGTTTTATTATTAAATGTAAAAGTAGTGAAGTAAGGTGCTGCCTTTGTGACTAAAAAATCTACCTATCCTGGAGAGTGTTAGGGAGTGTTGCAGTTAGAAAGACTTACTGATTTTGAATTGAAGTGACTGATTTGTTGCCAGTAGTCAACAATTAAAAAAGAAAAACTTAAAAATACTCCTAAGTTACTGATAATTGGAAAAGCTGTAAGGAAATCGCTTTAGAAAAAAGTAGTATTTTATAGTTTTTGGAAACTTCCTAAGTATTTGAAATAAGTGTGTTTGTAATACTTCATATAAAATGCAGATTTCAGTAATGATTCATTTGAGCTTTTCAATGGTGGAAATAGAGAGTCAATTTTTTTTTTCTTTTTCAGCTGTTGCTTTTAAAAATGCCAAACAGTTTGAGCAAGCAAAAGATGCCTGCCTGAGGGAAGCTGTTGCCCATGAAAATAATAGGGCGTATCTTTTTCAACCTTTAAAAAGAAATTAAACAATTAGATGATTTTGATAAGCTGTTGTCTCTTGCTATAAATTTGCTTTACTACCTGTGAAGTAAAATGTTTTTAAATTAGAAAATGATTAGAAAAATTGTGTATTTTTAAACTCTGAAGGAGCGTTTATAGTGAAGTTTGATCGTAAGGTCCGCAGTGCTTCGCAGAGCTACATTTGAGAACTTAGTTTCTGTTGTTTGTGGTTTTACTTGATGATAGTTTTACTTGTGATGAAGTAAGAGAAATCTATAGACATGCTGAAGAATGAAGAAGTAGGACAGGTATTGAAAACACATAAACTACTGTGTCAGTTTTTTAAAAATACAGTTTTCCTCAGTTATTTGAAATAAGAGTTATAAGAAGTATTTGAAAACTTACTGATAAAAAATGTTTTTCTTACTTGCAAAGTGTAGTCATAATAACTTTGCACTTCAGTGAATTGCATAATAGAAATAGTTTAGAGTCTGTGCAGTGTTATGTCAGTGTTTTGGGGAATTATGTAGTTTTAAACTGTATCAGCAGGCATTGAATTATTTCTTCTTTACCTGGTTGTAGCATTTGTCTTTTGGAACCACCTGGGTCAGTGATTTAGTTAACTGTCTTTAAATGGTAGATCTCTAGAAACTATTGATTTTTTCTTTTTTCCTTAACTTTAACTTCGTTACTTCCATTCAGTCTTTTTCATGCTGCCAAGTAAGTATTCTTCATGTTTTCTTGTATTTGCAAATTATGTTTTAAATGTTGCTGTTTTTCTGTAGGTTGGTAAATTTTTCCCAAATTATAAATTTTGTATTGATTTAAATAATAATCATTTCTCTTTGCTTCAGTTTTTACCTAAACCTTAAAAAATAAATCACTCTTAACTCTAAAATGTAAGGAGTTTAAATTAAATTTGGCATAATATTTTATTAGGAGCTTTTTGTTTACTAGTCTATGAAAAAATAAGTTAGAATCTGTTTTTTCCTCTGTTTAATAGCTAATAGTATCTATGGAAATGAAGCAGGAAGCTTTCTCCTGCTTTGTGGAGAGTAGTTATTTGTGGGCTGAGGTGGGTGGATCACTTGAGGTCAGGAGTTTGAGACCAGCCTGGCCAACTTGGTGAAACCTGTCTTTACTAAAAATATAAAAAAAAAAGCCAGATGTGGTGGCACAAGCCTATAATCTCAGCTACTGAGGAGGCTGAAACAGGAGAATCGCTTGAACCTGGGAGGTGGAGGTTGCAGTGAGCTGAGATCATGCCACTGCACTCCAGCCTGGGCAACAGAGCAAGACTCCATCTCAAAAAACAACAAACCCCATAGATTTAGGTTTGTTAGATGGAAAGTCATTTAACTTTACTGAGCCTTACTTAATTTTGCATCTGCAAAATAAAATCTCTTTAACTCAAATGTCTCATGTTCTAAGCTATTATTCCCCCTGAAAATAAAAAGAATAAAAAATTGTATTGTGTGGTAATACAAGTCTGAAGTGATATGTTGTTCATGAGCCCATTTTAATTGAAGTCACTTTCCTTACCAGTAGTTCCTCAACAGAAAGTTTCTCCTACCCCTTATTTCATTAAGATCTCATCAGAGAAATTATATTCTCTTTGCAGAGCTTATGAGCAAGCTGGAATGATGTTGAAGGTCAGTAATGTTGTGTTACAATTATTGTGTAGGTAAAATAAATTAACTATAAGGTGTTGATGTAGAATTTATGTTGAAGTTGAAAAGCATCCTTACTCTAAGGCAAGAGGTGCTAAGTTGGTTTTCTGTCCATGGTAACATTAATTGGACCCATAGAATACATTCTGTGTGTCTGAAGGTAAAGAGTGTTAAAGTGAAATTTAAGAGAAAATGTTTCGGAGGGAACTGGGAACAGTAACATTCTAAGGTTTATAACCAGGATAGATGTGTACTGCTATAAAAAGAGCTCTTTGGGAAGTTTCTCTACTTTTGAGAAGGACATCCGAATGGTTATAAATATTTTAAAAATCATCATACATGGGTTATAGAAAGAAGAGATGTTTACTTGTGTGGACAACAGTTGGCAGCAGAGACAACCACAGATTTAAGCTTTTGCTACTTTTATTCATTCTCCGACTAATGTACCTATGCCACTGTTTGTACTTCTGCCCCCAAAAGCAGGCTAGGAATTAATGTCCTGGTGTGGTGAGACGGAACATATGATATTGACTCTCACAGTGTGCCAGCTGGCAGTTGAAATAAAATCTTCTTCTTTTTAAAAAATTTTTTTTTCTAAAATGGTAAAAGCTAATTTCAAGTATTTATTATAAAGCTTTGTTTTTAAGAACTTTTACCTTAGTAATGTTTTTGTTTTTAATTTCTATCACTTTTGTAATGTGAACTTATTTTTTTTCAGTGGACACATTCTCCTTGCAGCACAATAAGAAATACTGGAAAGGTTAAAGAACGTTAGTAATAGCTGTTAACATGCTTAATTTAAAAGATTTTATAGCCTTAGACCCAGGAATTTCAATTTTGTGAATCTGTCATGTATATATATATATGCGTGTGTGTGTGCGCGTATATATATATATATATATATATAGAGAGAGAGAGAGAGAGAGAGAGAGAGAGATAGCAAAGATTTATGCATCAGGATGTTTTTTGAAGAAATGGCAATTATCTAAATTTTTGATCATGGGAAAGTATTTAAAGAAATTGTGATTCTTCGTATGAAAAACTGTTATATATCCATTGAAATATAGCTTTTCTAGCCGAACATGCAACTGAATTGATATTTGGTGATGTAACATTGCAACTAGAGTTTCTCTTACAGCCAGAGAAGCCAGGGATCTGCTCTGGTCTTCTTCTGTCTCATTTTCCACTGAGAACTAGGAAGCTCCCAGGTGGCTATTACAGTCTCAGTGTACTTCATGTCTGTTTTTAAGATACACTTAGTTGAGAAATCCTCAACCACTCTAATTCTCACAACCTCAGTTTATATTGCAACAACTGTACTAAGACTTGAATCTTCATCAAAAGTTATTATTCAGGCATCATTTCTATTGCTCAAGTATGTATTTAATTTGAGTGTTGGAAAGGCGCTACTTTGGATGAAAGAAAATCAACTTAATGGATAGGGAAATAAGAAGGAGAATGCTTTCTGGCATTGTCTTATATTTAAACTAAATGCCTTTGGATAGTCTCGGGAGCATGGGAGTCTTGAGCTACATGGTCCACAGTTAATTCTGTGGGCTGAAATTTCTATCAATTTGTCATACACACCTTCATATTTATTCCCCAGCAAGACTTGGCGAGTGCCATTTTGTAGAAAGATGCACAAGGGAAGCCACAGGAACTTGTTGGCTCAACCTTTGGTTCTGTCACTTGATGACTGCCATGATTTCATATCCTGTTTGCTGCACAGGCACACAGCCATTGAAAATAGGCATATTTATGGTAGAGAGTATAACTTTCAAGTAGGCAGCTCATCATTTTTTATGGAGAAGTATCAATATTGTGGTTGGACCTCTTACTCACAGCCTCACTTGATTTTACGCAAAAGCAGGGAGATGTAGTCGTTAATTTTTAAACAACAAATAGGACTTAAATGGCATTTATACTGCCGTCTACTGTATTTTTTGCTCTGTCCGTCTAATCTACTGGGTAAAACTAATGAAAGATAGTCCCTGTGTTATTTCTTTTTATCCTCCCAAATGCTTTTATGTTGTAGATTGACAGTAATATGTAATTAATGGATAGGTAAATTAGAGGAAGAAATACAGCTGACCCTTGAACCACCCCAGGGTTGGGATACCAACCCCCTGTGCAGTTGAACATCTACATACAACTTTTGACTCCCCCAAAACTTTACTAATAGCCTACCGTTTTTGTTTTTTTGAGACAGGGTGTTACGCTGTTGCCCAGGCTGGAGTGCAGTGGCACAATCGTAGCTTACTGCAGCTTCAACCTCCTGGACTCAAGCAAATATCCTCCCACCTCAGCCTCCTTAGTAGCTGTATAGGTGCATGACACCATGCCCTGCTAATTTTTAATTTTTTTTTAATGAAGACTGCATCTTGGTGTGTTGCCCAGGCTGGTCTCAAACCCCTGGGCTCAAGTGATACTTCTGCCTCAGCCTCCCAAAGTGCTGGGATAGCCTCCCAAAGTGCTGGGATTACAGGTGTAAGCCACTAACTTAGTATTGACTAGACGTCTTACCAGTAATATAAACAGCCAGTTGATACATATGTTATATGGAATATGTTTTATACTGTATTCTTACAATAAAGTACGCTAGAGAAAAGGAAATATTATTAAGACAATCATAAGGAAGAGAAAATATATTTACTGTTCTTTAAGTGGAAGTAGATCATCAGAAGGCTCTTCGTCCTCATCATGGTCTTCACGTTTGAGTGGGCTGAGGAGGAGGAGGAAGAGGAGGGGTTGGTTTTGCTGTCTCAGGGGTAGCCCAGGAGCAAGACAGTTTGCATATAATTGGTCCTACACAGTTTAAATCCCTGTTGTTCAAGGTTCAGTTGTATTCTTTAAAAACCAAAATGACCCTCAGAACTAAAGTGCCTGAGAGAGAATTGTTAGGTTTACCTCCCTGTTCATTCAGATATCCTTGAGCAAATATTGTAGACTCGGAATCTTTCATTGACCTTTGGTTTTATAACAAAGTATCGTTTTTATTTTTTCACTGAGGTTTGGAGATGTATTAGCGTAACATTCTGCTTGAGTGAATGATAGCAGCCTTATTTCATTATCTTTCAGTCTGTTTTTTTTTGTTGTTGTTAGTTTCCATAGCTAAATAATAAAGTATGTTTTGGGGTTGCTGAAAATGAGACCGGTTTTGTTAGGGGTATCCTAATGAATTTGTCGACTTCGCGAGGGACTGAATAGGCAGATTTGTAAACCACCCATAAGATGCAATGTGGAGCCTACCTTAAGATACAGCAAGTCAACACTAAATAAGTTGTTCCTGTAAACTTTATAACTAGCTTTTAAATGATTTTTTTTTTTTAGTCTATTTCAAAAATGTTTGATTTGGAGATGTTAGACATTAGGACTGCATGATCCTGGGATGTATAAGTTAAAGACACAGAATTTATCAGTCATGGAAGAGGGTTGTAAACTCAAATGAACTCAGGTCATATGGGAATAGCTGAAATGAATGAAGCAGCCTGGACATGGAGGGAAGTTGGAAGTGAAGAGCAGGGAGAAGTGCCAGGAGGTGCATGCTCATCTGATGGGACAGCACTATCCAGCCCCAGCTCGTTGTTGCCATTCAGGGATGCAAGCCTGCTGGTGCCGTAGCTTTTGAGTTTTATATATATATGTGTGGAGTTATATATATATATATATATATATATATATATATATGTATTTTTTTTTTTGAAGAAAGCCATAAAACAGCTTTTGTGAAAGACTGATTTAAAAATACTTCATGGATCAAGCAAAACACACTTGAAAGTGAGATAGAGTCATTGGGCTGCCAGTTTGTGATATTTGGCATAGGTCTTGTATATAATAGGGACTTAGTAAATGTTTAAAGAATAAGAAATGCTTAAAAAACAGTAAGGAGCAAGGTTTTTGTTTTTTTTTTTCTATTCTCATAGTTTTCCTAAAGGTCTATGAAGTGATGATGAACTGTGTAGAAATTACCTGGTATATTTTTGGGCTTAATGAAGCTTGATTGAAAGAATAATCATGTAAAGCGTTTCATTTTAAATATATTTATTGCTGTGCAGTGTTTTGTATAGTCAAAAATAATTGCATTTCATATGCTATGCCCACTTTTTGATGGGGTTTTTTTTTTCTTACAAATTTAAGTTCCTTGTAGAAAAAGAAGACATTTATGTGGCCAAAAAATATGGAAAAAAAAGCTCATCATCACTGATCATTAGAGAAATGCAAATCAAAACCACAATGAGATACCATCTTACACCAGTCAGAATGGCGATGATTAAGAAGTCCGGAGACAATAGATGTTGGCGAGGCTGTGGAGAAATAGGAACGCTTTTATACTTTTGGTGTTTATGTAAATTAGTTCAACCATTGTAGAAGACAGTGTGGAGATGCCTCAAGGGTCTAGAACCAGAAATACCATTTGACCCAGCAATCCCATTACTGGGAATATACCCAAAGGAACATATATCATTCTACTATAAAGACACATGCACACATATATTTATTGCAGCACTATTTACAATAGCAAAGACTTGGAACCAACCCAAATGCCCATCAATGATAGACTGAATAAAGAAAGTGTGGTACATATACACCATGGAATACTATGCAGCCATAAAAAAGAATGAGATCATGTCCTTTGCAAAGCTGGAAGCTGTCATTCTCAGCAAATTAAACAGGAACCGAAAACCAAACACTGCATGTTCTCACTGATAAGTGGGAGTTAAACAAGAACACATGGACACAGGGAGGGGAACATCACACACTGGGCCTTTCGTGGGATGGGGGGCTAGGGAGGGACAGCATTAAGACAAATACCTAATGCATGCGAGGCTTAAAAACTAGTTGATGGATTGATAGGTATATAGCAAACCACTGTGGCACATGTATACCTATGTAACCTGCACGTTCTGCACATGTGTCCTGGAACTTAAAAAAATAATTGCATTTCAGATTGTTAACTCTGTTTTTCTTTAATTAATGCATTTGCTGATCTGTGCTGTATCCTTTGCCCAAAGGAGATGCAGAAACTACCAGAAGCCGTTCAGCTAATTGAGAAAGCAAGCATGATGTATCTAGAAAATGGCACCCCAGACACGGCAGCCATGGCTTTGGAGCGGGCTGGAAAGTGAGTGTGAGATGCACCAGTCTCTGCATAGAAGTCTTGTCTTTTTGTTTTAATAAAGTCTTTGAAAAACAAGCTTTCCATTTCTCATGTAGATCACATTTTCTTGTCTAATTCAGGCTTATAGAAAATGTTGATCCAGAAAAGGCTGTACAGTTATATCAACAGACAGCTAATGTGTTTGAAGTAAGTTTGAGTCTTATTTTTTCTTTACTTATTTAGAATGTTTAGATAAATAATACATAGGAAAATAAATAAATGCAGTGACTACTTTTAAAACTTTTCCCTGCTCACAGTTGCGTGCTATTTCTTTTCTGCTAGAAAGTAGTAAAATGGACCAGCAACTTTCGTGTTTCCCCCTTGATCCAGTGCTATTACTTCTTTACAAAATAAATATTATGAGATAAAAAAATTTCAACGTTAAAACAGCCAACACTTGTTTTTCTTTGATTCCTTCAGAATGAGGAACGGTTACGACAGGCAGTTGAATTATTAGGAAAAGCCTCCAGACTACTAGTACGAGGACGTAGGTATGTCTTTAAGAACTATTCCTATGTGTTTATACTTTGAATCCACATTTAGAACTGGAAAGTAATTTGGGGGATAGCTTGTTAATTTTTTGGTGTAAGCTGTAGACATACTAGGCAACACAATAGAATGTTAACATTTATTAGACAGTGGGCACACTGAATTAGATATTAAAAGATCTGTTGTTTTTTGAAAGTGTAATGTCCAAATTTATCATGCATTATACTTTTACTGGTTGAACCCTGGCTCCGCAGCATGAGAGCGAACAGTTTTCTTCATCTGTTATTTGGTTGGATTATAGTATCTCTCTCAAGGAAAAATAAGAGTATTAGGGTAAATGACAAAAATGCATAAACAGTCACCCATGAAAATTGGCAGGTTCTTGACAAATAGTGTCATTAATGGAATATTTACCTTGTTATCCTTTCAACATGATCTGAGACAGAAATAGTTGAACCTCAGAAAGCTAAAATCCTATTGGGTTTTCTTTTTATTTTTTTTTTACTTTATCTCAGTTTACTTTTAGTAAATAATTTCTATCATTAATAAAATTCTGTCTCAATAATATTTAAGATAAACATTTTTAGGAGATAGTAAGTCTCCAGATATCTTAATTGAAATTTACCCAAAGCTTCTCACTAACAGAAAAGACCCAAGATCCATTTAATGTGTCAAGGACTCAAAGTAGAAATGACTGATGAATCTGTCCTTTCTGAGACTGAATTAATTTTTTTCTTCATGAATACTGCAGATTCTGAAATATGATTTAAACCTGTCTAGAGTAGCATGAGAATAAATTAATCTAGAATTAACTGTTAAACAATCTCATTTAGATAAACTACTTTGCTTATAGGACCTTCCTTCGTTGAGTAGTTTTTTGGTTGTTGGTCTAATTCGAAACGAAATTTTATTTTGTTTTTAAATTAGAACTTTAATCATGAAGCAAAGTTTATATATCATTCCTGGGTCATTACCTTTATTCATCTTATTACTTATTGCTTCCCAGAAATCAGTTACTGAAATGCTAACTCTGACAATTCCCAACTTACAAATGGTTCAGTTTAGTTTTTGAAAGCGTTTGTTACAGCAGCAGAGCTGTTCTTGGTGATGGTGCTTTGGCTGTGGCAGAATAGCTGAACTGTGAGGTGATACCGAGGTTCTGACTAGCGAGCAGGGGCCCCATGTCTTAGAAGCAGCATCCTTCATTCTTCTCAGGGCAGCCAGGAGGCAAGTTTGAGCATACTTTACCTCTTTCTCATCTGTTCTTGCCTCCCAATGCTCCTCCACAAGGTTCCCAGTGACTTTCTAGAGTGCTAAGCCTGTTACTATAGGACCCCATGGAAAGTGGAGAAAATGAAGTTGCAGGAAGGGGGAGAAGGTAACGACAGCTCTGTGTGAGAGCCACACTGCCTCAGCTCCCATGAGGTATTTTGTTTTCCACGTCTTTCATTTTGTTTCTCAAGGTGTATAGATCAACTAAAGCTGTGTTGTAGAGAGAGTAGCACAGGAAAGGAGAGAGGCCAGGATCTTTTTGGGGGAGGTCAGCTGAAGAATGTTTTCTAGCTGCCTGTGCATGTTCCTTTAGAAAGCTCCACTAGGGATGGGGACCACCATCATCCTCAAAACATTACCAACGTTGCCAGTTGGTTTGGAGTTCAAGAACTAGTTGGGGCCAGAAGAAGAGTTTGAGTCGTGGTGAGGAAAGTGTCTTTTGAAAGCTTGGGGATCAATGAGATTCTATAACAGTTTCCTACCATTTCCTTCTGTGGGATTTCAATTTTGTTTCATTTGGGTTTAACTTTTTTTGAGTTATAGGAAGATAAAAACAATTTATTCTGTTTTCAGCAAAACCAGATTCTTGTCATTTTGTTAGGAATATTAAGTATTGCCCGATGGGAAAGTTGAAATCATCTATGTTTCATTATAGTAAGTAATGAATACTTTCCTGTATACATTTAAAAATAGATGGGTTTATATGCTAATTTCATGGCCTTTTAGCAAAGTCAATCAATTTTTTTGACTACCAACTCATACAAGTGCTTGGCTCTTTTGTTAGGTAGCTATATATTAGCACATAGAAATGCTAAACAGTTTATGTGTAAAGAATGCACCCTTTATAGTTAAATATATGAAAAATTTAAAATACTGAGATTGCTACTAGAATGTAATATAATCTGGACACTATAAGCACAGAATATTCCGAATTCATTTTATAAAAATAGGGTCTGTGATAAGCTCAGGGTCACAATTAAAAATGATGTATATACTTGAAGCTGTAGTCTGCCTTGCATTAATTTTTTATTTCTGCATAGCAAATTGCCACAGACTTAGCAGCTTAAAACAATACTCACTGATGAGTTCACAATTTCATGAGGCCAGAAGTCTGGATATAATGTAGCTAGGACCTAGTGTCGCTAGGTAGCAGAGCTAGGGTCTCATCAGGCCAAAATCAAGGTGTCAGAGGGGACTATGATCTCATCTGAGGCCTGGGTCCTTTTCCAAGCTCATTGATTGTTGGCAGAATTGATTTCCTTGCAGCTGTGTGACAGAGATTCCTGTTTTCTTGTTGCCTGTTGGCCAGGAACTGCTCTCAGTTGTTGAGTTCTCCTTTAGTTCCTGACCATATGCCCCTCTTGTTGGTTCATAGCATGGCACTTTGCTGCTAATTTCAGCCATCAGGAGCACTTCACTCTGATTTCCAGTCTCTAACTTAAGGGCCCACCTGATTAAGTCAGGCCCACATAGACAGTGATTCACTCAATGTCAGCTGATTTGTATCCTAATCACAGGATGGCCCATCATATTTTGAGGGTCACACCCACACTTAAAGGGGGATTATACGGGAAGTGTTTACAAGAGGGAAGAATTGGGAATACTCTTAGAATTCTGCTACCAAACCCAAGTTATAAATTGACTTTATTCCAAAATTTTACCAAGTTGACCTTTGGAAATTCAGAATGCATTTCTTCAATGAGTGTCATTTTATAAGACACTAAGTTGCCAGGGTACATCCCATAAAGATTCAGTTTAACTCATGATGTAAGTAGCCATAATAGCATAAGCCAAGCCACTGTGTGTGTGATGTGGTGGGGGAGGGGTATGGGTGTGTGTGTATATATACAACTATTTTTAAAAAGGTAACACACAGGCCGGATGCGGTGGCTTACGCCTGTAATCCCAGCACTTTGGGAGGCTGAGGGGGGGTGGCTCACCTGAGGTCAGGAGGTCAAGACCAGCCTGGCCAACATGGTGAAACCCTGTCTCTACTAAAAATACAAAAATTAGCTGGGTAAAGTGGCATGCACCTATAATCCCAGCTGCTGGGGACATTGAGGCAGGAGAATCGCTTGAACCCAGGGGGTGGAAGTTGCAGTGAGCTGAGATCTCATCACTGCACTGCAGCCTAGGCAAAAGAGTGAGACTCTGTCTCAAAAAATAAATAAATTAATAAATAAAAATAACATATAGAAAAATAGAGCATAACATTTTTGTATTTTTACTTTGGGTTACAATACCACTTGTCACCCCTTGGATCCCAATAGTACAGACCCTTGCCCCTTTTGGCAGTTGGTTGTATGTAATCCCAATGCCCAGACCCCTGGTAGTTGCCCCCATAACCTTGGACGCTTATTGGGATGAGAGCAATGGCTGAAGACTATACATTTCACTCAGTCTCAAGTTGTGCTACTCAGGGATTCCTGGTATTTGGAGTATACTACAGTTTTGGGAAAAGGAGGATTCAATTAGGATTTGATGGAATTAGGGCTGGGGGAGGGAGAAAGGGATAAGGGCCTGGAACATTTGGGGGGAAATTTTTAGTGACCCCTTTCCTTGCTTTCACCTTCATTCTGCCATTGGGCAGAATAGAAGAAAAGAAGAGTGTGAGAGTCAATGGAAAAGATGAATGTTGAAGATTGAAGATGCAGGAAGGATTTTGTTTAGGTCTCTAACTAGCCCCCCCTCAATGCTGCCCTCTTAGGCACCTCAGAGCTTGCTAGGGCCACTGAGGCAGCAGTGGAGTATGTGATGGAGGGACACGGTTGGATGACAGCACGGGGTGCCCTGGGGTGTCTGGATGTTCTTTCAGTCTGGAGGAAAGAAATCTTGGGTGATCATCCCAACTATGTATCACAAAGAAGTTTGTTTGACAGAAACTCATTTTTGGACAGTCCTTACCAAGGTTAAAACTCCCTGTTTGACCTAACCCATCCTTGAGTTCTTTTGCTTTTTCTGTCAGTGTACTGTCTGAAAGTGGGGAGTCAGACATTTGAAAGGCAAGCCAGATGAGCAGAGTGTGTGGAAACCTGGGTCCTGGGGCAGCTGCTAATACCTGTCCTCTTGGTGTCTCTACAATCTATGATGTCAAATACATTTCACAGGGGACCTCTGCTATAGATGATTTAGACCTGCTTGTTTTACATATCTATGTTTCCTTTTAGGTTTGATGAGGCAGCACTCTCTATTCAGAAAGAAAAAAATATTTATAAGGAAATTGAGAATTATCCAACTTGTTACAAGGTATTCTTTGAATGTGTTTGTTTTTGGCATTACATCAGATTTTTTCTACTGGTCTGAATACGTACCTAGGAAAGGATTCTATGGATATTTCTATGTTTTTTGTAAAATAATACTTCATGGGCCTCTGTTTTTGACCAAGGTAGAGTAAGGCCAATACAGCTTGTCTCCCTGCTGATTACAGCTAATCTGCTAGATAGCAAAAGCAACCACCCTTGAACTCTGAAAAGTAAATGCAAGCCGATAGACTAAGGACAGGAGCAAACACTTGGAGAAACAACCACTATAGGAGTGAGTTTCTTGGGTTTTTTTCCACTTCTTGCCCTGCCCTTAGAGAAGCCTGCAGTTGTGAAGCTGGGCAGCACAGGCTGCAACAGTGAAAACTCCAAAAGAAACCCTGTCTTTCTAACCAGCACTGGGAAAAGAGGTCCCATTGTTTTCTTGACTTTTGCTCTAAGCTTATGCCCAAGGCATGGAGCTACACTGTGATGATGGCTCAGGTCAATAAAACTCCACAAGGACCCCAGTCTCTTTTGCCAGAGGGACTAGGAAAATGAGCTAGAGAGCAAGGAGAAAATCGCAGAAAGGAGAGAGCTGGAAACGGAGTCTCCTCTAAGTATGGATGTGGCCCACACAAGACTTGGATTTACTCTTAAGCTGTGCTGAGACAGGCCCCAGAGTAGCAGTGCAAAGCTTGGAGAGCTACGGTTTCATCACTGTCGAAGTGTTGCACTGCCCTCTGAAGGGCTTATGCATGGAACAGGCCCAAAGCCACGTAGCAAAGGATTTTAACTAAGTGTAGAACCTCCATCCACCAAAAGCAAGGTACCACATGTAGTCTGAACCTACCTGGGGTGATTACTTGCGGAAAACATCTGTATTCCTGAAAATTAAGCAGAAGCTGCACTGTATCACATTCACAGTACAATCCAAAATTATTCAACATGCAAAGAACCTGGAAAATATGACCAGTTTTTAGGAGAAAAGACAACTGATGCCAACCCTGCAGTGATCGGGGTTGTTGGCATTATCACATAAAGACTTTGAAGCAACTGTAAGTTGCTCCATGAGGTAAAGGTGAACACAATAGAAATGAATGGAAGAGGGGTTCTGTTGGTTTTTATTGAAAAATTGTGTTTATAGGAACTATACAAATGAACTAAATGGGAATTTTAGGGCTGGAAAATATGTTATTGAAATAAAATATTGGATAAGCTTAATCTCATAATAGAGATAACAGAGGAAGACTTTGTGAACTTGAAGATAGATCAGTAAAAGTTACCTAAACAATAGAGGTAAAAAAGATGGAGAAATACTTAACAAAGACCTATTTTGCCAATAATTTATCACTCATATCTTTGGTCTTATTACTGCTTTTATTGTTTACTTATCAGTGCTATCATTGTTTCTGTTACCTGAGGCTTTCACTCATACATCTTTTTCCTAGTTTCTTTTTAAGGATTGTAAGTATCATTGCGGAGTTATGGGTCCCCCTCCTCTTTTTTATTCATGTTTCAAGCTTTAATCTGTGTAGATATTTGAAGGAAATTCTCTTTAAAACATGGTTGTGATCTAAGGCCTGTGTCACAGTGTGGTCCCCAGACCAGCAGTAAGAGTGCCCCCTGGAGCTTGTTGGAAATGGGTGAATCCCAGGCTTGCCTCAGGCTTACTGTCTTCATGTAACCAAATCCCAGGACACGAGAGTTGGAAAAGTGCGGTTCTAGGCTATTTCCCCTCAAGTGTCCTGTGGAAGCTACTACAGCATTTATAAATCCCCCTTATACAAACAAAGACTCTGAAAGTTAAACTCCAGGTGTTTTTAATACTGCCAGGATACTGACTTTATTAAACACATATAAATTTGACCATGATCCTCTCTTTTGTTTTAGAAAACAATTGCTCAAGTCTTAGTTCATCTACACAGAAATGACTACGTAGCTGCAGAAAGATGTGTCCGGGAGAGCTATAGGTAAGACATTGTCTGCGCCCTTTTGACTTGCATGTTCGACACTTGTGTTTCTACAACCAAGATTGCTGCTAGGACAAATGTTCCTGGCCATGGAACTTGTTTCTAAATCTTAGGAGTGCTCCTCTACCATTTTATCTTTTACAGTGGGCATTTTACACTTTTTTTTTCCCCTTTCCTGTATTTTTCTCTTGGGGACCTCCATGGAAATCAATGACTTTAGTCATTTTGTTTTATTTGCCTTCCAAGAAAAAAAGAACAAGAAAAAGGGGGAAAAATTCTCAGATTGTATGTTACAGAAATCAGAATGAGGGATTTTTCTCAGTGTTCAACATGAGCAGTCTTAATCTCGACATTATTAACATTTGGGTTGGATAACTGTGGTTGGACCTGTCCTGTGCACTGCAGGTTGGTTAGCAGTATCCCTGGTCTCTGCCCTCTAGATGCCACTAGTATTCCCACACTTTTAAGAACCAAAATGTCTGCAGACATTGTCACATACCAGGGGACAGAATCATCCCTGGCTGAGATGTGTTCTTTTAAGGAGAAGGTGAAGACGTGTGATTTGTGCTTACTGCAGCATCCCCGGGTTTAATGGCAGTGAAGACTGTGCTGCGCTGGAACAGCTTCTTGAAGGTTATGACCAGCAAGACCAAGATCAAGTGTCAGACGTCTGCAACTCGCCGCTTTTCAAGTACATGGACAATGATGTAAGTGGGCCTGTTTGCATATCTTTAATCTTTTCTCTTGAAAGAAAGAGGTTTCTATTGAGATTATTTTTTACCCGTGTACTTAGGAGTTTTTTTCTTCTACCTGTTTTTTTCTTCTCAAACTACTACTCATGAGGAAACTGACCACTTGCATTGAATTTCACCATAGATTTAGATAAAACAGATGTTAGTTGTATGGTTTATGCCATTTACTCACCCATCTAACTCTCTTGACCTTATACATATTTTAAAATTCAGGCTATTTTCTCAACTTTTCCTCTATCTGTTGTCTTATGGGTTGCTTAGTATATTCATTTCTTTTAGATGCACCATCTGAAAGAGGCCCATTGTGTAGTGGCCTTTGTAATTCAGTAGACCTTTGGCAATCTGTGATAACTAGCTAAAGCCTCAGTTAACTCATTTGTAAAAATGAAGCCACTAGTACTTGTCTTGCTGGACTATTGTGAAGAATACATTAGTCTGTGTATGAGAAATACCCTTACATGATATCTTGCACATAAAGTGAACCGTGGCTATAAGTTTCTATTTTTTCTCATTTCTCTTTCTCAGTAGATTTCTAAGTACCTGTTTGGTCTTAGGCCTTTAGAGTATCATCATAGTATCAGATCAACTTAAGGTCTTCAGTTGTTTTGTAATGATATATGTAGAAAAAAATTTTTCTAAATAACTTCTTACATGGTTTTGAAAATATATATTTTTAAATTTTTAAAAAATTTATGATAGTTTTACTAGTTGTATACCTGTCCCACCATGCTCATGAGGCATCTGGAGAGAGCATTATTGGGTTTTGCTTTTCCATCTGAATGGCAGAATTGGTGTTCATGCGGGTGGAGAGCCAGGCTGTGTCTTTTTAGAGCTTAGTAAAATGTGTCAGGATTCTAGTTATCCAGCTTTTAAGAACATGTTCTGTTGTTGACAGTATGCTAAGCTGGGCCTGAGTTTGGTGGTTCCAGGAGGGGGAATCAAGAAGAAATCACCTGCGACACCACAGGCCAAGCCTGATGGTGTCACTGCCACAGCTGCCGATGAAGAGGAAGATGAATACTCAGGAGGACTATGCTAGTATTTTGCTTGCTGAAAAGAAAAGGAAAACAAAGGGAAAATCCTGACATGCTATTTCAAGGACTTGGTTCTAGATTAGGGATGTCTGTACTTCATTACAGTGGTGATTTTGGATCCTAATAAAAACTAGTTTTTAGTTACCGTTTTCCCAAATCAGTTATATCCTTTATCTGTGAAGCATATCTTTTTCTTTCCATAAGAGCTTTTTTAAGACACCAGCAGAAGTTAACAGAAAAGCTACTGTCATGTTTTAATACAGTTGATTAAAAAATTTACAAGCCAAATTATACATAAATTATGTTCTAAACAAAAGGAGTAATAAACATAGGTATTCTTCCCTCTTGGACAGTTATAACTTACTCTTAGTGAATTGTTTTTTATATTTTATTTAATAATTGCTGCTAAAAGTGATGTTTACTGGTAAAATTATTTTAAAATTTGTTTTTTTTGGAAAAGGAAATTTATCCCCTATGATGTTAGATACATTTAAATTATTATGTCTTTTCAGAGATGAGATGGGAGCAGGAAGTTATTTTGAGCCTTACAATATTATTTAACTCAATAAAAGGTGCACTGAAGCTCTTATATATCAGTTTGAAAAATTTTGAAGGTAACATATTAAAGTGATTCTATAAATACCTTCAGTTCTCTCTGAAGTGTAGGTATTTCTTCCTTCTAAAAAATACATAGTGACTGTCTCCATATCTACTTGGCTCTGAACCAAATAGGAGCTAATAGCTAAGGAATACCTTTTTTTTGTTTTTTTTTTTTTTTTTTTTAAAACACGGTCTCACTCTGTTGCCCTGGCTGGAGTGCAGTGGCATAATCACAGCTCTCTGCAGCCTCTCCTGGACTCAGGTGATTCTGCCACCTCAGTCCTGAGTAACTGGGACTACAGCAAGTAGCTGGGACTACAGGCATGCACCACCATTCCAGAGTATTTTTTTTTTTTATTTTGGTATTTTTTGTAGAGATGGAGTTTCTCCATGTTGCACAGGCTGTCCTCAGGCTCCTAAGCTCAAGCCATCTGCCTGCCTCGGCTTTCCAGAGTGCTGGGATTGTAGGCATAAGCCACCTCTCCCGGCCTGCGAATATCTTTTTTATGCATTGTAAGAACAAGGTAATGTTTCCATCAACCTAGTACAGTTACATTTCTTTTTGCCAGAATCATTTTATTTTGATTTTAACTCCGTCGTAACTTGATATGGAAAATGCTATATACTATAAAAACTTAGCTGAAAGGGAAGAATCGTTTTAGAAAGACATATATTTAAAACACTGCACTGCGAATATATTGATCCTTTACAGTTATTTCTAAAATGCTGTTTTGGAAACATTCCTTTTTTACCCTATGTGGCCTAGACCCATCTCATAATCTGTTAATTGGAAAGAGGCTACAGACACTAGCATTGTGCATTCTGCAGGCACGTGCTACTTATTCGTGCCCTGTCTCTATCTCTTTTAGAATCATACCTTAAATTTTGAGTATAGGATTCTTAATTTTGCTAGACTTTCTGAAAACACTAAGGTGGAGTATCAGAAGTGATTTTAGTCAAAACTAATTGAGTAGGAGAGCTTAAGACATAATAACATCCTCCTTTGGGAGGTGGTCTTGGGAACGTGGATGTTGGTATACAGTTTTTTATTGTAGGCCTGATACAAAACTCAAATAAATTTAATGTTTTTCTTAATTTATTGGCATAGTTCTTCAGGTAGCAGCTCATTTTTATTAATGATACTGGAATTAACTATGAACAAGCTATATTTAGACATTTGCATTTAAGGACATTGCAGTGTTTCAGAGAACCCATCATTGCTGCTTGTATCCTTTACTTTAGATCCAGTCAGAAACTTCTGGAGTCTTACATTAATGTTCATTTGAGCTAATTAATAATCTGTTTAAACAGATTCGGCAATACTTTAAAGATGTTTTAGACTATTTGTTTATAGATCTTATTACCCATTAAAGTCTTGGTGAAAAAATTTTTTAGTTTTACTCTTGTGTACTGAAAACTTTTTTTTTTTTTTTTAAAGAAAGGTGATGATAAAGTGCATTCTGTAGCAGCAGCGCAGGTGGGCTTTAAACCACACAAAAGGCTGTTTCCAAGTGCAGCCTCCTTCACCCTTCTTGCCCATGGTTAAGACTGAATAACTAGGACTTGGGGATATTCTTTGTTGTCAGGGTTATTCTGTGTGGTAAAGAATATTTGTTTCACATTTATACATTTTCTTTTTCTAGTCACATAAGTTCCTATTTTGAGAGTGTAGTCAGAAGTATAAAACTTGGTGTTTACAAGAAAAATCGTCTTCCAGAACTCCACTGTCATCACTTTCACCAAAGTGGAAGTCTGCATGAATATGCTCAGAATCTAATATTCAACATTCTGTTACATTGTAAGTGAAGTCCAGCTACAAAATAGACTTAATATATTGAATTTATTTGTACATATGCAGAGTATGGTATTTGTGTATAAAATCTGCTTTATTACTATTTTTTTTCAGCTCTGATGAGTAGAATATTAAATGTGTTATGGAAATGCAGATTATTGCTTCTATAGGAAGATAATTATGAAAATAAAACCTGAAACTATATAAATATGATGATTATTTGTATTATTTATTTTGTTTAGCTCGTTAATTTTCTTTTTTCCAGGGACACATTCTCTTAATTATATGACTTGAGCTTTATTTTACAAAGACAGTATTTTGTAAATACTGTCTTTGTAAAATTTTATTTGCAGTTGTCTTTTCCGCTCTTTGGGAGTAAGGTATCTTTGGAAATTTAAACTGTTTGAGCTTCTCAAAATACTAGTCATTCAGTTATCATAATACTATAATATGTTGCTGTTTGGTGAGATGGAAGACTAAAACATCTTTCAAGAGAGTAATTCTTTGATTGGGTTGAGATAAAACCATGTAAGATTAGGAGACTAAGAGTACTGATGTGAACTTGTTTACATAATTAGCACCTTAATTACTAGCAAATTTACTTATAATCAGACATTTATTGGATGCTAACTATGTAATATTATCCCTGTCTTTCATGGAATGGAAATTAATAATAATGTGATACTTGGATTTAGGAGAAGTTGGAGTAAGAAAGAATGCAGAAGTGGCCCTCAGACATAGTGTGATTGTGTATTTCTTCCAGGACACTTTGGAGTGTCCTGAATGTGGTTTGTAGTCATTATTGTGTTTGTAGCAGCAAGAAGAGATAGCCAGGAAGGATAAGCAAAGTCCACCTTCCCCTGTCACCCACCTCCCCTTTCATTTGACTCATCAAAAAAGGCTCAATAATGACTTTAATGTGATGAGTTAAATTTAAGGACATGAAAAACATCTTGAAAGTAAAAAGTACTGAGGCAGATACAAATTTTGAAAAAGGAAAGCAAACTCTCCACTCAGTTACCTTTATTCCGACAAGGTTTTGTGCTTAGAAACAACTTACATGGCATTTAATTAATACTCAGGGACACTCAATAAAATGCCCTTAGATAATTACCTTCACTTCACAAGCTTGGTTAATTTGCTCCCATAGAGTGACATTACCTTTACAGGTTTTGTTTTTATATCTGACTCTTAAATTTTTCAAGGGGCCTAATTTAAATAGCCTTAAAACTAAAAAATTTTTCTAAGTACTTAAGCAACTTATAAAGCTAGTAAATCCAACTTATACATGGTAATTTGAGCTTTCAAATTTTCAAATACTCTTTGTGAAAAATTCTTAATCACAAAGATTTAAAATGAAAATCAAAAGGTTAATATGTGAGATTTTGTTAAATGTTTTAAGAACCTTAAATATAAACCTGTGCAGATTATCATAATGATCATAAAATTTATTCCTAAACATAACTAGAAAGTGTTATCACTAAAGTTGACTTTATCAATATGAAATACTTATTTTTATACTTAACCCAGGGTAAGTCATTCAGCCAAATAAGAAGAACAAATATACCTTCTTGGGGGGGCCAAAATGGTTGGGACCGTGGCACAATTGGAGCACAAAGACTGAGATGTGTACTGTGAGTGCTGAATTCTTGCAGGAAGTTCTGTGCATACTCAGGTGAGCACATCAGCCTTTTTTTTTTAACTTTAGTTTTTGTACCATGTCAGTGGGGGACACCAGGACTGTGCCTTTGAGCTTGGAGTTCAGTTTCACAAAGCAGTGGACCATGGCATTTTAAAGTCTTCATCCTTAGGTTTATTATTATGGTATTTTGTAACCTATTTTAACATTTTGTAGTGGGATTTGAATAGAAAGAATTCTGCACCTATAACTAGGTTGAAGGTACTATCTTCTCCTACTTGATTTCGATGGAAGTATCGTTACTGTTCAGTTGGTTCCTGTGTCTTTTCATATTTCATGGATTTTAGGCCATGATTTAGTAGTCATATTGATAAATTTATAATTCAGTAGGCTTTATATTGATAAACTTACTGGAACAACCACCATTACAGACAACACGGTCTCATTACAGGGAAGGCATGACTTCATAGAAAGTTGATCAGTCAGAAAGGACTGTCTTATGCTGCAGTAATAAACAACCCTTGGATCTCTGGTTTCAAATGACAAAGGCTCATTTCCATTCATGCCACATGTCCACCACAGGTCAGCTCTGCCCCATGTCTGCCTCTCAGGGCAGAACAAGGGACCACAGATCCCAGTGGTAGGAGAAAGATGCACAGATCCCAGCAATGTGCTGCCCATCCCAGAGGTGAGACCCCTGACCTGCATTCATTCACCAAATCATAAAGGAGCCAAAGCCTTTGGACGCCTGTGAGCCAAGAGGGAGAGAAGAACCAGCTATGCTAGGGATTATACAACACTACTTATGCCTTAGAGCATTTGAAGTCAAATCAGAAGTTATTTTTGATTAACTTTTCCTAATTCTCAGTATAGGATTTTAGTAGAAAACAATATAGTCCTAAAGCAGTTGCTGTTACAGACATACAGGGTGGTGTCACCATATTATGTATAGCCCTGACAGTCGCTCTCCTATCCCCATTTTCAGGTGAGTAAACAAACCCAGAGGAATTAATTTACTCTGAATGTTTTTAGTGTCAATATTCCTAATAGATGCTGTTTGAACCAGCCTCTTGGTTTTTTTTGTCATTTATGTGAAAAGAAAAACAATAGTAGGCCAACCTGGAGTCTGAGCTTTTGATTTTTAAATAGTAATGTGAGCAATTTGGTGTTTAAAAACAAAGCAACATGGTTCAGACTGGCTGGTTTCCTAGCTCAGATGCTGTGGCTTTCATCCTGGGGTGATCTTAGGTCCAGATGTTCCTGCACTAAGAAGTTGGAACATCCAGGAAGATTGAAATCAGGGTCTCTGTCATTGAGATTTCTTTCTCCCTTTGCTTTTTTATGTCTCATACTTAAAATTTTTCTGTCAAATCTCAAAGTTTCTCTTAATCCTGATCCAAGTAGTAAACCATATTGTGGGGAGCAGCCTTGCAGAAGCAGCATCATGAAGTAAAGTTCAAGGCCTGAGCATGTAAAGAACAGCCCACAATTTGGACATCACTTGACTCTTACTACCTAAGAAATTCTCCCTGTTCTTTTGAAATGATACCCATCTTAAAATGGCATATATAATTTTTATTGTACTTTTGGAGAGCAGAATAGATTTATGCTTAAATTTTGAAAAACTGTTCACTGATAAAGCTATTATAGAAATTGCAAACTAGGAGAAGGATCCAAGATGGCCAAATAGGAAGAGCTCTGGAGTGCAGCTCACCAACACCTCTGCTGGCATACTGTGACTAGA